GACCCACAGCTTTTGACCTGAGTGGCAGGGGTGACCCACAGTTTTTGACCTGAGTGGCAGGGGTGACCCACAGTTTTTGACCTGAGTGGCGGGAGTGACCCGGGGTTTGTATTCTGAGTTGCCTGAGCAGAGTCTCCATGCTCATGCTTCATTTTACAGGCTGAGCTGCCTTCTCCACGCCCACCTCCAGCCCTAGGGACTGCCAGATGACAGGGGATGAAGCCTGGCTTTATCAGTGCCCGATTTTAGTAATCCTAATACATTTCTGCTTATTTTTTCCGTGCCTCCCAGCCCCTCATGCCATCTTCTAAACCAAATTTTCATCCATCCTCTTTGTGAACAAAAGTAAATACGCAAGGAAACCTAACATAAGAAGTGACTCAGTACATGTGTGTTCTCACAATCAGGGTGCGGGAAAGATCGAAGGACACACAAGGGGCAGTCCAGTCACACCCAGCTCTCCACCTCGCAGACTTCCTACACTGCGGACAGGAGCATGCTGTACCCTCACTCACCTCATACACAGCGAGATCGATGCCTGCGTAAGGAATGATGCCCAGTAAGTTGGGAACATAGCCTTTGTAAAAAGCCCCAAAGCCTTCATGTTTCAAAATCTTCTTGGCACAACCGTATATTCCAGAGTATTGTCCAGTTTTGGCTACAGCTAGCCGGGTTTTCAGAACCTGGATACCGGAGAACGGAACACAGTATCATTCACATTTAACATCGAACAGTTCAAGCGTATTGATTTCGTGGGGCACTAGGAAATTCTCTCTCTCAAGAGAATGTCCAGTTCACTGATAGAGTCTCCCTCATGGGTAACTTCCATTGAGAAGCTAAAATCAGAGCCAGGAAGGGCCAGTTATTTCAAAGAGAGTCTAAAGGAGGGCTTTGGAAAAAAAAAATGTGAACCAGGTAATCTTTTGATGTCATAATAAAATTAATTGTCAAGGAAGGTGAAGAAAATGGCCTATGGGACAATTCCAGTATCTTCAGCTTGGAGCCCAGGCTGAGGAGGTGGGGGGTTGGAAAGGGGTGGTATTGGTTGAAATGAGGGGTGTGAGGGTAGTCTAAATATCTCTAGAGGCTCAGAGGTACCACAATCTACAGAGCACTTATGGCACAAGCATGTGGCCTTGAGTTTGATGCCGTAAAACCCACACAAGAAGTCAGGCATGGGAGTGGATGCCTGTGGGCCCCCTGGGGAGGTAAGACAGACAGCTCTCTGGGGTTCACTGGCCTGTCAGCCTGGCCCATAACAGTGAGCTCAGGCCAGTGAGAGACCCAGTCTCAAAATACAAGGTACACAGTGCCTCCTGATGAACGACACCTGAGGCTGACCTCTGGCCTCCATGGGCACATGCACACACATGTGCACCCACACGGGCATGCCCATCTGCGCACATACACACACACACAAATCTATTGACATGCATATCACAAAGGGGTTCAAGTTAAAGGTATATTTTGCTTAGGTCTTATAAGCTATTGAAAACCCCTACTTGTATCCATAAAACTATCCCTATCTACTGCATTAGTTTTGCTGTAAAGTGGGAGTTGGCAAACACTTTTTTGCAAAGGCCAAACAATAAACATTTCAGTCTTTGCTAGCCTCAAATGCGAGTCTCCGTTAACGTGTTCTTTGCTTTCCCTTCACTTCTTCCTGTCTTTGTCAGGTGTAACAACAATTAACTGAGGCTGTGCACACAGGGCACAGGAGGTCCACAGTTTGCTAGCCAGCCCACGTTCTTCCGGAAGGATGTCTAGTTGTTATTACCATCCCACAACCAAAGCCTCGGCTTCCACTGCTGGGGTTATGGTACAAAAGCTCGCTGGACAGGAATGAGAGCCATAACCCTTATCAGCACCGTGGCAGCCAGCCTCTGAGATGGCTCCAGAGGGTCCTGTGTCCACAGATGCTCTGCTTTGCAGGATCCCCTCACACACAGTACCCAGGTCAACCTGTGTCGCCAACAGGGCACAGTGGAAGCGACAACAGGCACCAGTTGATTCGCATGCAGTCTCTTTCTCTCTTCTGGCTCACATCACTGACTGTAAAGGAAGCGAGGTTACCATGCTGTGAGAATACACAGGCCATCTAGAAAGGCTCGCCTAAGAGACCCGATGCTTCCAGGCAACAGCCAGCGAGGACGGGCAGCAGCCACCCCAGTGAGCCTGAAAGCAGATCCACTCCAGGAGAGCCTCTAGACGGCTGCAGGCCTGGCTGACGCCTTGACAAGAGGCGGTGAGACAGGCAGGGAGGCCCGGCTCTGCCGCTCTCACACTCCTCACTGCCAGAACTGTGAGGTGCTGAGGCTCGTTTCAAGCTGCTGAGTTTGGGTTAACTTAGCACACAACTACAGCCAGCCAGTGCAAACGCCACCAAGCAGTCAGGCCACCACGGTACCTACCTCCATGGGATAGATAAAAGTCTGTGCAGTTGCCCCAGCCATGGAACCAGAAACGAACCTCTCAAAGGTTCCCAATTTTTGTCCTTCTTCGGTAAGCAGCTTCTTGTACTGTAAAAAGGAAGTTTTAAGAGGCACACTAAACCGCCGTCGCTGGACTCCGTAACCTACAAGGCCACTCCGCTGCCCAAACCCACGGAACCCACATCCTCCCCCTGGCCAACCATGTCCCACGACATCGACAACTCCAATAGGCACAAGCGCCACCTGCCACCAGTTGGAAGAACAGACCCACTCCGCTGCCCAATCCCACCCACCCAGCATCCTCCTCCTGAACAGCCCTCTCCAGCAGCAGCAGCAGCCCCTATAGGCACAAGCCCCACCCACACCAGTTCGAAACCATAGGCGCAGGCACAACCCACACCAGTTGGAAGAACAGACCCCAAAGGCACAAGTAAAGCCCACACCAGCCAAAGGAAGTGGACAATGCACTAGATCTAGGCACCCAAACCCCCATAAACCTCAGCGGAGACAACCCTACTCAGCCTGACAACCAGCCAATCACCAGAACCCTTGGGCATTCAGGGCAAAAGACAGTAAAGGAACAAAAGACTCATCCAACAAAGACATCACAAGAATCAACACCTGTACCTATAACTATCCCAAACCCAGATGGGTAAATGGCAGTGTAAGCACACATTCAACAACATAAAGAACAATATGGCACCACCAGAACCTAGTAGTTCTACAACAGCAAGACTTGAACATGCCAATGCAGATGAAGCAAAAGAAAACAACCTTTAAAATGACTTTATGAAGATGATAGAGGCCTTTAAAGAGGAAATGAAAAATTCCCTTAAAGAAATGGAGGAAAAGACAAAAAAATTGGAAGAAATCAATTAATTGCTTTTAAAAGCCAAGAGGAAATTATCAAACAGGCGAAAGAAACAATTCAAGACTTGAAAATTGAAGTAGAAGTGATAAAGAAAACACAAACTGAGGGAATTCTGAAAATGGAAAATCTGGGAAATGGAACAGGAATTACAGATGCAAGTATAACCAACAAAATATAAGAGATAGAAGAGAGAATTTCAGGCACTGAAGATACAGTAGAGGAAATAAATTCATTGGTCAAAGAAAATGTTGAATCCAACAAATTCTTAACACAAAACATCCAGCAAATCTGGGACACCATGAAAAGAGAAAACCTAAAAATAATAGAAATAGAAGAAGAAGAATTCTAGCTCAAAGGCACAGAAAATATATTCAACAAAATCATAGAAGAAAGCTTTCCAACCTAAAGAAGGAAATGCCTATGAAAGTATAAGAAGTTTACAGAACACCCAATAGACTGCACCAAAAAAAAAGTCCCCTCACCACAAAATAATCAAAACACTAAACATACAGAATAAAGAAAAAATATTAAGAGCTGCAAAGGAGGAAGGCCAAGTAACACATAAAGGCAGAACTATCAGAATTACACCTGACGTCTCAATAGAGATCTGAAATCCAGAAGGTCCTGGACAGACACTAAGAGACCATAGATGCCAGCCCAGACTACTCTATCCAGGAAAACTTTCAATCACCATAGATGGAGAAAACAAGATATTCCATGACAAAACCAGATTTAAACAATACCTATCCACAAATCCAGCCCTACAGAAGGTACTAGAAGGAAAACTCCAACCCAAAGAAGTTAGCTGCACCCACAAAAACAAGCTAATAGATAACCTCACACCAACAAATCCCAAAGAAGGGAAACACACACACCTACCACCATCACTAACAAAACCAAAAATAACAGAAATTAACAATCACTGGTCATTAATATCCCGCAATATCAATGATCTCAATTCACCTATAAAAAGACACAGTCTAACACAATGGACATGAAAACAGGACCCATCCTTCTGCTGTATACAAGAAATATACTTCAACCTCAAAGACAGACATTACCTCAGAGTAAAGAATTTGGGAAAATATTTTCCAATCAAATGGACCCAAGAAACAAGCTAGTGTAGCTATCCTAATTTCTAACAACATAGACTTCAAACTAAAATTAGTCAAAAGGTAAGGAAAATGACATTTTCATATCCATCACAGAAAAAAAAAATCCAGCAAGATGGCGTCTCACTTCTGAATATTTATTCCCCAAATACAAGGACATCTATGCTGTAGATATGTTCTGGATGCTGTGACTGTATCGCTCTGATTGGTTGATAAATAAAATGATGATTGGCCAGTAGCCAGGCAGACAGGAGAATGCTGGGAGGTGGAAGGCTGAGTCTGGAGACGCTGCCAGTTGCCGCCACCATAAGAAACAAGATGTAAGGTACCAGTAAGCCACAAGCCATGTGGAAACTTATAGATTAATAGAAATGGGTTAATTTAAAATATGAGAACTAGATAGCAAGAAGCTTGAGCCATTAGGCCAAACAGTTTAAATAATAATAAGCATCTGTGTGTTTATTTGGGTCTGAGTGGCTGCGGGTCTGAGTGGGACTGGAGAAAACTCCAGCTACACATCCACATTTATAAAAGAAGCATTACTAAAGCTTAAATCACACATCAAACCCCACACACTAGTGGGAGACTTCAACACCCCACTATCACCAGTGGACAGGTCTGCCAGACAGAAACTTAACAGAGAAATAAAGGAATTAACAGATGTTATGACTCAAATGGACTTACCAGACAACTATAGAACATTTCACCCAAACACAAAAGAATATATCTTCTTCTCAGTACCTCATGGAACCTTCTCTAAAATTGACCACAAAGCAACCTTAACAGATACCAAAAAAAAGAATAACTCCCTGTATCTTATAAGATCACCATGGCTTCAGATTAGAATTCAACAACAACACAAATTGCAGAAAGCCTACAAACTCATGGAAATTGAACAACACTCAGTTGAATTACCAGTGGGTCAAGGAAGAAATAAAGAAAAAAAAATAAAGACTTCCTAGAATTAAATGAAAATGAATGCACAACATACCCAAACTTAGGGGACACTGTGAAAGCAGTGCTAAGAGGGAAATTCATAGCACTAAGTGCCTACATAGAGAATTTGGAGAAATATCACACTAGCGGCTTAAACAGCACACCTGAAGGCTCTAGAACAAAAAGAAGCAAACTCACCCAGGAGGAACAGACGCCAGGAAATAATCAAACTGAGAGCTGAAATCAATAAAATAGAAACAAAGAGAATAATACAAAGAATCAATGAAACAAAGAGTTGGTTCTTTGAGAAAATCAACAAGATGAACAAACCCTTTTCCAAACTAATCAAAAAGCAGAGAGAGACTATCCAAATTAACAAAACAGATACTGAGGAAATCCAGAGAATCATTAAGTCATATTTCAAAAATCTGTACTCCACAAAATTGGAAAATCTGAGAGAAATGGGCAGTTTTCTAAATAGGTATCACATACCAAAATTAAATCAAGGCCAGATGAACAATTTAAATAGACCAATAACCCCTAACAAAATAGAAACAATCATTAAAAGTCTCCCAACCAAAAAAAGCCTAGGGCCAGATGGTTTCAGCACAAAATTCTACCAGAATTTCAAAGAAGAGCTAATACCAATACTCCCCAGTTGTTCCACAAAATAGAAACAAGGAATGTTACCAAACTCCTTTTAAGAGGCTACAGTTACACTGATACCCAAACCACACAAAGATGCAACAAAGAAAGACAATTACAAACCAATCTCCCTCGTGAACATTAATGCAAAAATAACCAAGAAAATATTAGAAAACCAAATCTAGGAACATATAAAAAAAATCATCCAGCATGACCAAGTAGGCTTTTTCCCAGAAACGCAGGAATGGTTCAACATACAAAAATCTGTCAATATAATCTATTATATAAACAAATTGAAAGAAAAAAACCCACATGATCATCTCATTAGATGCTGAAAAAGCCTTCGACAATATCTAACACCACTTCATGATGAAGGTCTTGGAGAGATCAGGGATACAAGGAACATATCTAAACATAATAAAAACAATATACAGCAAGCCAACTGCCAACATCAAATCAAATGAAGAGAAACTCAAGGCAATTCTGCTAAAATCAAGAACAAGACAAGGCTGTCCACTCTCCCCATATCTATTCAATATAGTACTTGCAGTTCTAGCTAGAGCAATAAGACAACAAAAGGAGATAAAGGGATACAAATTGGAAAGGAAGAAGTAAAACTTTCACTATTTGCAGATGATATGATAGTATACATAAGTGATCCCAAAAATTCTACCAAAACTCCTACAGCTGATAAACAACATCAGCAATGTAGCAGGATACAAGACTAACTCAAAAAAAAAAATCAGTAGCTCTCCTATATACAAATGACAAATGGGCTGAGAAAGCGATGAGGGAAACAACACCCTTTACATTAGCCATAAATAATATAAAATATCTTATGGTAACTCTAACCAAATAAGTGAAAGACCTGTATGACAATAACTTTAAGTCTTTGAAGAATGAAAGTGAAAAAGATATCAGAAAACGGAAAGATCTCCCATGCTCCTAGATAGGTAGGATTAACATAGTAAAAATGGCAATCTTACCAAAAGCAATCTACGGATTCAGTGCAATCCTCATCAAAATCCCAACACAATTCACAGACCTCAAAAGAACAATACTCAACTTCACATGGAAAAAATAAAAAACCCAGGATAGCTAAAATAATTCTGTACAATAAAGGAACTTCCAGTGGTATCACCAACCCTAACTTCAAGCTCTACTATAGAGCTATAGTAATAAAAACAGTTTGGTATTGGCACTAAAAGCAGACACATGGATCAATGGAATCAAATCAAAGACCTTACATAAACCCACACACCTATGAACACCTAATTTTTGACAAAGAAGCCAAAAATATACAACAGAAAAAAGAAAGCATCTTCAACAAATGGTGTCGGCATAACTGGATGACTGTATGTAGAAGCATGCAAATACATCCATATCTATCACCCTGCACAAAATGCAGGTCAGGCCCAAGTGGATCAAGGACCTCAACATAAATCCAGTTACACTAAACTTGATAGAAAAGAAAGTGGGGAGTATACTGCCTTGTACACATTGGCACATGAGATCACTTCCTAAATATAACACCAGTAGCACAGGCACTGAAATTGACAATTAATAAACAGGACCTCCTGAAGCAGAAAGGCTTCTGTAAGGCGAAGGACACTGTCAGTAAGACAAAATGGCAGCCTACAGAATGGGAAATTATTTTAATCAACCCCACATCTGACAGAGGGATGATCTCCAAAATATATAAAGAACTCAAGAAGCTAGACATAAAAACACCAAATAATCCAACTAAAAAATGAGGTACAGATTTAAACAAAGAATTCTCAACAGAAGATTATCAAATGGTTGAGATACACTTAAAGAATTGTTCAACATTCTTAGCTCTCAGGGAAATGCAAATCAAAATGACTCAGAGATACTATCTTACACCTGTCAGAATGACTAAGATCAAAAATGCCAATGACAACCTATGTTGGAGAGAATGTGGAGCAAGGGGAACACTCCTCCACTGTTGGTGGGAGTGCAAACTTGTACAGCCACTTTGGAATCAGTATGAAGGTTTCTCAGAAAACTGGGAATCAATCTACCTAAAGACCCAGCAATACTACTCTTGGGCATATACCCAAAGCATGCTCAATCATACCACAAGGACATTTGCTCAACTATATTCATAGCAGCATTATTCATAATAGCCAGAACCTGGAAACAACCTAGATGCCCCTCAACTGAAGAATGGATAAAGAAAATGTGGCACATTTGCACAATGGAGTTTTACTCAGTAGTTAAAAAAAAAAAAATGACATCATGAAATTTGCATGCAAATAGATGGAACTAGATAAAAATCATCCTGAGTGAGGTAACCCAGACCCAGAAAGACAAGCATGATATGTATTCACTCATAAGTGGATATTAGATGTAAAGCAAAGGATAACTAGGCTACCATTCACAGCCCCAAAGAAGCTAGGTAACAAGGAGGACCCTAAGAGGCATACATGGATTGCCCTGGGAAGGGGAAATAAATAAGATCCCCTAGCAGTGGGACCAGGACTTGTCCCTGGTGCATGAGCTGGCGTTTTGGAACCTACTCCCTATGATGGGATGCCTCACTCAGCCTTGGTGCAGGGAGGGGCAGCTTGGTTCTGCCTCAACTTGATGTGCCATGTTTTGTTGACTCCCATAGGAGACCTCACCCTTTCTGAATGGATGTGTTAGGTGTGGGGAGGGAACAGGAAGAGAGGAGCTAGGGAAAACTGTGGTTGGTATGTAAAATAAATTTTTAAAATTTAATTTAAAAAATGTACATTAATAGCAGCTTTGGGGTAACAGTGCCCCTTCCTAAATTCTTTTTTTTTAAAGATTTATTTATTATGTATACAGTGTTCTGTCTGCATGTATGCCTGCAGACCAGAAGAGGGCACTAGATCTCATTACAGATGGCTGTGAGCCACCATGTGGTTGCTGGGAATTGAACTCAGGACCTCTGTAAGAACAGCCAGTGTTCTTAACCTCTGGGCCATCTCTCCAGCCCCCCTAAATTCTTATATTAAATCCTAATCTCCATTGTGATGGTATTAGGAGATGAGGCCTTTGGGGACATTTGTGGTTAGAAGAGGTTCTAAGGCCTCAGGATAGAACTAGCATCTTATCAGAAGAGACACCTGACAGTTTACATTCCACCAAACCATGCACCAAGGCCATATGACTATGGAGCAAGAAGCCAGGGAGAGAGTCTCCACTGCCTAGCCTCTTAATCTGATACGGCTTAAGTTTGAAAACTGTGAGAAATAAGTTTCTACCGTTGAACCACACCTTAGATGGTATTTCACGGTGGCAAAACCCAAATCAGATGCTAGAAATCAATTCACTTACAGTATGATGAGATGCCTCAAGTATACAAGTATGATGAGATGCCTCTACATTAACAATCCTAGCAGAAACATGGGGCTTAAATGCTGATTCTGTTTCCTGGGAAGTAGGTTTTCAAATTAGACCCCCACACACACGGCTGGCAATATAGCTCAGTGGTCAAGCTCTTGCCTGGCCCATGTAGCAACCTTAAATTCAAATTCCAGCATCATTAAAAAGAGGAAGGGGAGTGGATAGAACCAAGTAAGCCTGTTGGAGGGGCCAGGATAAGAATATGTCAAGTGGCCCGGCAGTGGTGGCACACGCCTTTAATCCCAGTACTCGGGAGGCAGAGGCAGGCAGATCTCTGTGAGTTTGAGGCCAGCCTGGTCTCCAAAGCGAGTTCCAGGAAAGGCGCAAAGCTACACAGAGAAACCCTGTCTCGAAAAACCAAAAAAATAAAGAATACGTCAAGTGGTACCAAGTGTGCTGTGTGTGGGCTTTCAGATACACCAAACTTCCCCCATATGAAAATAACAGCATTATTTTTGAATATTTATCTTAGGCTCTGGCTTTCCTATTATAAAATTAGTCATAATTTGAATGCTCAGGCATTCAAATCAGGGAAATCTCCCCCCCCCCCCATGGGCTCCACCTGAGGCCAGCTGTTCTTTGCTTCTCTATTCCACAATCAAGAAATGGATACCACCAGCTCTGGTCATTTCAAAAGAGTGGCACTTCTCCAGGACAGTCCCTCCAGAATAGCATTCAACGTCCTCAAATAAGAAACTGGAGTCTGGAGTTGAACGTTAAGGCTCGTGTAGACCATGATGGACAATAACGGAAGAGACGACAGAAGAGAAACTAATTGTGTAGCAGCTCCAATGACTCTGCCAACAAGTGCAGAAGCCAATCTCTAAACCCACCACTGTGCTTTAATCCAGTCGGCAAAGAGGGAGGCAAATGCCTTCATTTCCTACCTCATTCATTCACTCAACAAACACTCAGCCCTTCACCCATGCTGGGCTCTGCCCAGGTGCTGGAGTGCAGGGAGAAGCCAGACACCCCTGCCTTCAATGGAATTTTCAAGCTAAATACAATTCCATTCACACAAAGGAATTCATCTGAACAGTTTTCTTTCCAGAAATGGAAGTTTGTAAAACTTAGATGAAGTGCCCCCTGCGTCCACTAGAATTCAAGATAAGTCAGCCAAAATCATGCTTTGAGGAGCTACTGAGAAAAAGAGGTCGGTGGGGAAAGCCTCCCTTTCTAAACGATATTGGGGAATCCAAAATCCCATAATTCAGCTGTGTGAAATCATTGAGTTTATCGAGTTCTAGTCTCCCATAAGGAATTGCCTCGCAGAGTACTAGGAACCGATACCCAAAGCATTGCATACTGATCTTTCCTGAATGAGTTAGCTAACTTCTTGTGTTATTCATTTCCACAGGTAATAACAATTACCTGTTCATAAGCCCAGAACTTAACAGCTGTCTCAGGAGCAATTTTAATGACATTGGTGCCGTTTCCTCTCCAAAGGGAACGGACTCCTCCTTCCTTCACCATCTGCCGAAAGCCTCCAAATATATTCATTGATTTGGAACCATGAACCTAAAAATAAAAGCAAAGTGTCACGGGATACTTCTGCATATTGTTGAAACTGTTTCGAAAGCAGGTCTGAGCTGAATCCAAACACTGGATACTAAATGCTAAAGCCTCCGTCTCTGATGGGCTGCAATGTTCTGCTCACCGTTTTTACACATCAATACCAGGAAAGAAAGGCATCAGGGCTGCACAGGGCACAGACAGAAGCAGATCGACATTTGGAACTTCCCTGGACTCGGCCCTCTGCACTTCCTTTCCTTGGTTAATTTGAATCCTTATTTCTTCCCTGTAATAAACCACGACCATGAGTCTGTATTTTCATGAGGCCATCTAGTGAAGTATCAAGCCTGCAGGAGACTTTGGAAAGCCCTTCAAATGTGTAGAAATGGCAATCTTAACAAATCCACTTTATTTTAAATAATAAACTTCATTGTAACTTATGACAAAGGAAAAGATGTGTGCCTATTCAAGCTTCCTCAAAGTCAGTTTACTACTGTGCTAAAGAAAAAAGCATCTATCTTTTTGTTTAAACAATTTTTTAAAAAGTGTTGACTATATATCACAACTTAAAAACCTTTTTAAGGAATCTTAGAAATGGCTTAGTGCCTAAGAGCCCAGGCTACTCTTGCAGAGGACACAGGTTTGATTCCCAGCACCCACATAGCAGCTTACAACCATGTGTAACTCCAGTTCCAGGGGATTTGGCACCTTCTTCTGGGATCTGTGGGCACTGCATGGCAAAACACCCATACACATAAAATAAAATAAAAACATTTTTAAGCAACTGCTATGGTCTTTTAGGTTATTCCAGTATGCCAGTGCCTCTGTAAGTTCAACTTTAGGGCCGCCCTTGTTAGATACTCTGGCTCCCATTATGGAATGGAGGAAATGAGATCTCAGAAGTCCAAGGCGGGGTAAGAACCAAAGGATCTGGAGGTGAAGTGGCGTCATGCCTCATCTATTCTTCTCCATTAAGGAAACTTTAATTCTTACAGTCTCCATCTCCTCATACGTAAAGTGAAGACACACCACCCACTTTTCCTGAGCTCCTGTGAGTATGAAATGGGTTACTATGGTTGCACAAATGGGTATTCTTTCTTTTCTCCAGGTCAGAGAGCAGCCAGGTCTGTCTAGAAACCTGGGTCTTTTCTGCTAACCTGAGCTCTAGAAGTCATTTCTGAAATTATATTCTTATCACCAAGATTCTAGACTTGAGAAACCCTCTGTTTTCTCAAGTCATAACATCAAAGAAAATATAATTTAATGAGAACCCTATAATAGTGACAAGGTTTTGGTTTTTGTTTGTAATTAGACATCTGAAGTTATAGAATACCAAAGATTTCATTACACACAAGTACTAACAATTTACGGTTTAATGGGACAGAACCAAATACTTAGACATGTGCCTAATCTGAGGGTTAATGGTAGCAGAATATAATTTTCTACAGAATGAAGGCCTGTGACTGGACATAGCATGCTTTCTATACAGGCTGGCACGAGGCGCGGCTCACCTGCATCATGACCTTGAGGCGATCCAAAGGAGCAGTGCTAGTTCGGGAGACGGCGCCAGCCACGCCTCCTGCCAGAAGCTGCCGCCACCACTGTCCTGATTTCTTCTCATCTTCTGTGAATTCATCCGGAATAGTTAAGCTGTCTCCTATGTCAATTCCCTGGAAAAATGGAAAGAGATGCCACAGTTCTTCAGTCCCAAACAGATAAGCCCAGAGCTTTCTTTTTGTGCCAGAGCTGTTACTGTTATGATCAAGGTTCTTCCTTGGGATTGACAGTGAACCAATCTGAGCACACGTGAGTGAGCATCTAGTCCCCCTGAATGTAATGCAGAACCAACGTAACGCAGACTCAATGCACAAGACCTGGGAACTGTCAGTTACAAAGTCCCACGTTTCTCTTTCTTTTCAAACCAGGTGAGTTTTATTGGACTGAACTTCAATGAAGGGGTAATAAATATTTTGCCACATTTAGTTAATCCTTGTCAGTCACTTTTCAAAGTCTAGAAAACCACACAGTTGGGGACAGCTTTGAAAAACTACTTAGTCAGTACTTCAGACACTCCATTTGTCTTAAGTCCCATTACGCTCTGTCTGTACTATGAAGTATATATAAATTTAAATATGTAAATTCTAAAATCAAACCATGAACATAAATAGCTCATCTTCTCATCTTCTATATGGTGACAACAGTGTTATCACTATGATACTTTTGCAACTTAATTACCTAACTGCCTATGGTGGGTATAACTAGGTCGTAGAGCACTTTCTTAGCACACTCCAGGTCCCAGCACCACACACAAAAACATGACCTTGACATAAAACTTTATGGGCAAGAATGGAAAGTAATGAGCCACACTTTGGCAGTAATGTTCTCTCCTTTGTTACCAATAAAATTGATTTATGATTATCTCATCAAATGTTATCAACTATCCCCAAAGATAAAATACAAGGTTCACACAGTATAAAATTTATACTCATAATTGATTTTATAATGCTCTGTATAAGCTTTGGCATTGTTACTAGTGACAGTGTGAACTCCAGGCGTCTTGAGTGGGAGTCAAAGATACTTCTCTCCCAGCACAGAAAACAAGTCCACAGGTTGAGGGATGGGAGAGCCCACAGAAGGTCCCCAAGGGCTTCAAGGAACAGACTGTACAACAGAACCTAATTTACACCACTATATTTTAGCAAAATGTTAATGAAGCAATTGCAATGAAATTTTATGAAGTACACACTGGCAGGAAATGCTATGCACGTGAGTCAAAAAAATATTCTCTAGCATTCAATGAGTAATGCAATGCCTTATGACAGCAATAAATCTAGGCAGCCTGACTAAGTAAGCAGTTCTGGGAGGGACCCGAGGCCATGTCATCTTTAGCAATCTGGAAGTGCAGAGATGATTTGGTAATACGTGACTTCTGACTTTGAGACTTCCCTATGGCAGAAGCATTAAATGTCAATGAAACCCGGGCAGCTAGTTCATCAAGATGGGACTTCTTCCAAGTTTTGAGAAAAGCTGTATTTATGCCACCTTGGGGACTTTAAAGATGCTCTATAAATCTGTGCCTAATAGAATAAACAGATCTAGACATTAAATATCTACTGGGACTTTGCCGGGACTTGGCCACCCTTCCCAGGGTGTTCTGGTGCTATTGAGTGGCAAGTACTGTGAAGCAAAGCTCCGTTAAGAGTAAGCAAAGATTGATTGACGGCAAAGATTGACAGCCTGGTTAGAACTCCAGTGACTAGAGCCGACCTATCCTAACTACTTTAATATCGACTTTCTGCCCACCTCTGTGTGTGACCTAACATCTTTGTGACTGTTAGGTAAACCCTTTGGAAGGTATGAACAGACCAGACATCTAGATTCTACCAACCCAAGGGTTGAGATCACACAGCATCTGATGTCCATCACAGAAATTCTGCTACTTTGCTTTAAGCCATCACCTCATGTTTCCACTGATGTATCTGAAAAGTATCTTGATTTAGGATTTTCTTTGCTATGTTACTGTAAAAAGCTCATGAAACTATGTCCGTGTCAGAACATGGAATGTGGGGTAACCTGAGTCTGTGTTCCCAGGCCACGGTCCCTCATTTAGATACAAAATTAACGATCTCTGTCCCCTTTGAGGTGAGAGCTGTTTCTTGCATCAGCACCATACCTGAGACTTAGAGCTACAGAATACAGAAAGCAAACTCACAGTCGAGTGTTTCCAGAAGCGGACAATCTCTTCAATGTCCGTAACAGGGTTAAATAAAAAGTAGTCCCTCCATTCATTCCAGTCCACTGTCATTGTCCCGTCCGCGTCGATGCTGGAAGTGTGAACAGACGGTTAAAGAGCAAGACGTGGGCACCACTAACACTATTGCTCATTTTACAGAATGAGATTTTGCTTCCCAGATTAATATTGAATTTTAAAAAACCCGTTGGCAGGTTTAAAGGGTTAGGCAATGGAGCATGTGGTTAGCAGGCATGAGGCCCTGGATTCCGCCCTCAAGAAAAACACACCACTCACAATTCTACATCACTGGAAATAGAATCATGTATATTATGATCCTTCCTGGCCATTTTCACTATTTGGAGAAAACCAGATCCATATATTACAGAGAGAGCCCGCTACAGACTGCCTTGAGCACTCTGTCAAACTCAAAGTTACTTAGCTAAAAGACACAAAAACTGGATAATGAAATATTGAGAGGAACGAATGAATGATTTCAGGGTCCATTTTTTTTCCCTCTCACAAGCTCGGGGGATTGTTTCTTAATATTTGAAGACTGAAATATTTGGGTATGATTTTTGAAATAGAGTCTAAATATGCTATCAGTTTTCTTCTCCTCATCAACATAAGAAAATCAGCAGGGATTCTCAGAAATCAAATTCTTAATATGTGATTTTTTGAGTTTTGAGAAATCCTGGTATCTCATCCGTCCTAAACTCAGCAGGCTGTCATCTTCCACGTGTAAGTGGTAGCACAAACTCTGATTTTTTTTGTGTGTTTTTCATTTGGGGGGCTGTTTGTTTGTTTTGTTATAAGCTTCTTGACAGAAAGTCCATTCTATGAAACTTTCCTCAGAACAATGCAAAATTATTCCGGGTTTGACTGCGCTGTTCAATACAAACAGTTACCAAAGTGGCAGATGTGAGGAGCTTGGCTTTGAATTGAATTCACATGTCTGAGATCGTATTTTGATGTTTCCTCCTATTGTATGCTATAGTCTATATGACATTACACATGCAGGCAGCATACAGATGAAGTGGAATCTTCAGATATTATTCTTACATTTTCAGCACATTTTCAGTTTCGATTGCTCATGTGAGATCATACTTCAGTGTTCACTGGCCCGGTGCAGAGGTGGCGATGCTCTGTATCCACTCAGAACCCCAGTTGCTGCTTGCCTTTAAAATGCATTCTGGGTTGCAGTATTAGCAGCTCTGATCTGATCAATATTTTCTGGTTTTGTGCAATGATTTAGCTTTTAACCCCAACCCCCAACTGCCCTTTCATGAGCATTTTCTACGAGGGAAGTGTCACCTTAGAAACATCCCGCAACTTTTTGTTTTGTTTTGTTTTTTTGAGACAGGGCTTCACTGTGTAGCCCTGGCTGTCCTGGAATGCACTCTGTAGATCAGGCTGGCCTCGACTCACAGAGATCCACCTGCCTCTGCCTCCCCAGAGCTGGGATTGGAGGCGTGCGCCACCACCGCTGTCATCCCACAACTTTAATGTTTTCAAGTCAAATTTCCACTCTGCCCCATGTTGTGGGAAAGCATGGGTCCATCTGTGGTACTTTATTACACAGCACATAAGCTGACTGGAAATGCACTTGGATCTATTGTAGAGCTTGGGGTTAGAATTTGCTTAATTCCTAATGCTGTCAAAGGAAATGCAAGAAAAATTATTTCTGGCCTTAAACAAGGGAGAAAAAAAAATCCACTTTGCTAAGGGTTTGTCAATACTCTTTGCCTTTTCAAAGAAGTCTTTGTTTTGTAATGATGCAAAAATTCTCCATAAACTATTTGTATGTAAACTGAGGACAATAACACGTTTAAAAGATTATACACTGTGATGAAGTTAGTTTTATTCCAAGGATGGAAAAAGTCATCTTTCCAGATGACTTAGGAGTTAAAGCACTGGCTGCTCTTCCAGAGGCTCTGGGTTCAATCCAGCACCTACATGGCAGCTCACAACTGTCTGTAACTGCAGTTCCAGGGGATCTGATACCCTGTTCTCAACTCCATGGGCACTGCATGTATATGGCATGCACACACATGCCAGCAAAACACCCATACACATATAATAATTTTTTTAAAAAACTATTCAACATCTACAAACCAATAAAGTAATATAGCACATAGTAGAACTAGAACCAAGGACAGAAATCACATGATCATCTCAATAGATACAGGAAAAACCTTTGACGAAATTTTACATCTCTATGATAATAGCCCTGAAAAAGCTAGTGGCAGAAGGAGCATATCTCAACATAATAAAAATTACGTGTGACAGTCCAACAGCCACCTCTACACTGAATGGGGTAAGATGGAAGCATTGCCTCTAACATCAGGAACAGGCCAAGGGGTTCAATTGTTCCACTCTTGTTTACCACAGTCTCTGAAGTCTCAGCAAGAGTCATAAGACAAAAGAAAGAAATCAAAGAGATACAAATAAAAAGGGAACAAACCAAATTACCCTTATTTTCAGATAATATGATCCTATAGTTAAAAGACCCTGAAGACTCTCCTAGAAAACTCTTAGGCCTGGTAACACTTTCAGTAGATCAGTGGAGCACAAAACTGGCACAGAAAAACCAGTAGCTCTTCTATAGGCCGATAACAAACATACTCAGAAAGAAAACATCTCATTCACAATAGCTGCGAATAAATAAACACTAGGAACAAACCTAACCAAGAAAGTGAAAACTCTCCTTAACAAAAGTTTTATATATAAAATACTGAAGAAAGAACTAGATGACCTAAAAGATGGAAAGAACTTCCAGGCTCGGGGACTAACAGAACTGCTATTGTTCCAATCACCATATTACCAAAAACAACCTACAGATTCAGTCTAATCCTTAGTAGAGTTCTCATGGCATTCCTCACAGAACTCAAAGAAACAATTAGTTGTTTCTTAAATAAATCTTAAAATTCATATCAAAACACAGAAGACCCCAAATAACTAAACCAATTCTAAGCAAAAAGAGTAACACTGGAGGGACCACCATAAC